GCGGCTCATTAACTGCAACCGTCTGGGTTTCACCAGGCCGTTGTTCAGCAGACGCTGGAACCCCTGTTCTCAGTTCATTTCCTTTCAGAGGGAATAGGACTCAAACACTGTCTCTTGGGGCAGGGTGAAGGAGAGCACATCAGGGGGCCCACCCACACAAGGACAGGAAGAAGCCAGGACCGGTGAGATCCACGTGATTCCCACCTGAGACTGGCCTGGCTCTCGCTACGTCTCCATCTGTCACACAGCTCAGATGTGGCCTAGGTTCAGGACCCGGCCCTGCCCTGCCCAGCGCTGTGATTTGGGGCCTTGTTTGTTCCTCTGTAAAATGAGATGGTCACTTCCCAGCCTGAGAGAGTTCTGGTGTAGATACTAAGGACAGTGGCCATGCACAAACATTCACTTGTTCAGTCTGGACACTGAACATTGATTTGTCCCCTCCTTTCTGCATCCTCACTACCACCAACAGTCGGGGCTGAGTGTAAATATCTGCGGGCATGGTGGATCAGAATTCAGACTACATTAGCATTTCCTCTTGACCGTAAACCATGTTTCTGCCATCCTCAGGGCTATTGCCAGAAACCTCATGCCTCCCTGGTAATGTCATTTCTTGGGCCCTCTGACAGGAAGACAAACTCTAGTCAGGTAGAGCTCACCCAACTTGTCTGGGATTCTCTTTGCTCAGAACAGAATTTGCTTTGTCACCAGTATGAAGAAATTCCAAGCTAAGTGTGGAGCTTGACATTGGGAGAGAGGTGAGAAAGCGAAAGTAGGGATTCAGAGAGCACAGCCATTCATGGAAAAATTAACTGGGAGCTTCTGGGCTGTGTCTGATCCCCCTTTCACTGTGTGTATGAGGTTAGGGAGTATTCACTGTATCACTGTCCTCCCGTTGTTCATCAATTTTCTCGAGCAGACCCAGTAACGTCTCCATCGTGAGACTTTGTTGTTACTGTGTTTGTCATATTGAATACATCACAGGTAGCTTGCCAGGCTTTGCCCTGCAGGCGAGATACTCTCGGTAGCTTGCTGGGCTCTCCAAGAGGGGCGGAGGAATCAAACTCGGGTGGGCCATGTTGGCTGTGTGCAAGGCGAACACCCTACCCCCTGTGCTATCGCTCCAGCCCAAGGGAGTATTAACCAAGAAATTCAGTCCATGACACAAAAGAACAAGTAGAGTGCTTTACTTGTGGGGAGAAAGCTCTGGCACAAATGCACATCTCTGCCATTTACCTGGAGTCTTTCTGAATCAGCTGGACCCTACCAGTTTGGGAATCTTTGCGCCCCTCACCAGAGGAACAGGAAGAGAGATCTTCTCCCTTAGCTGTATGACTCAGCAATGTGTGAGCATCTTCTGACACCCTGCTTGGACCTGCGCCTCCTCCTGAGAGCAGCACCTGCGTGCCAGGAATGTCACATGCTTGAGAACCAGAGTCTGTTCCCCGGACAAGCTGTAGCCCAGAGGCAGCACCCAGGATTGGAGCTCAGACCCAGACTCTCTCCACAGACCCTGGCAGGCCCTTCCCTCCAAGGGAAGCCCGTACACCCCAGCATCAACAGCTATCCAGTCATTCTTGGATGCTTCCACTAGGCCAAGTCCCCTGCTAAGCACTTTCTATGACTTGATTTCATTTCAGCTGCACGTGGGGCTTTTATCGTCCCCGTTTGCTGGGAAGGAAGAACAAGGCTTAGAGAGGTTCCAAGAATTTCCAGTTAGGGGGCTGGAGCAATAGCACAGCGGGTAGGGCGTTTGCCTTGCACGCAGCCAACATGGCCAACACAGGTTCGATTCCCAACATCCCATATGGTCCCCTGAGCACCGCCAGGAGCAATTCCTGAGTGCATGAGCCAGGAGTAACCCCTGAGCATCGCCGGGTGTGACCCAAAAAGCAAAAAAAAAAAAAAAAAAAAGAATTTCCAGTTAGGAGCTGGAAGAGATGGGATTCAGGCACGAGCTGTAGGAGCTGCCACGCTGCCATTGGACTCGCTGAGCTGTGTGGTTGCCCTTGGGACCCAGTGGTACCTCCCAAGCAGGTATCCAGCTGGACCTGTAGATGTAAGAACTATCTGTGATTCTGCCTTTCCCTGTGTCCCAGCCATACCAGTCCTGGGCCCTGGCGAGGCCTCCTTAGCCCACCCCTGCCCCAGCGCCCAGCTCCGGTACTTCACTTTAGATCCTGAATGATTTAATGTTGGTTCAAATCCTCCCAAAGGGATCGAGAGCTCAAAGAACTGTGGCTTAACATAAGAGAGAAGGTAGCTCACATCATACCTTCTTTTCATCCGGGCTTCTCATCTCCCAGCTCTTGAGGTTATTCTCCAGTCCATGGGGTCTGAGTTGACTCATCAAAGCTTCCGCTTCCATGTCCCTTCCTGAGAAAAGGAGGAGGAATGGGGCGAGCACTTCTCTCTCTGACTGCAGTCTGCAAGGTGCACACTACAGGCTGGCCAAGTGCAAGCACTCCAAGAAAGGGTGGATTATCCATTCTTGCTGGGTAGCCAGACTCCACTGATGCTGGGGGGCTTCTGTTCTCAGAGGAAGTGGAACCACTTATAGGAGCTGTTTCCAGGCTCGGCCATCTTTACTGTTCCCAGCCATGACCCTACCCTGGAACTTGGCCACTCTCTTGGTCCAAACTCCCTTCTGGGGCTCGCTAGTTCCTACACCCACATCTTCTCATCTAGCCTGCCTTGCCTCCCTCTGAGCCCAGCCACTTTGACATGCTTTACAGGGTGAAAAATTCTTCTTATCATGTGTGTGTCTGCGCACGCACACGTGCCTGTGTGTGTATGTGTGTGAGGGGGGGTGTGCACCCTGGGCACTGATATGTGTCCACTTATGCATGTGTGTGCACGTTTAGCATATGATATCATGCACAAGAATCGTTAGGAGGAGCACTGGTTTTGAGCTTATGGCATTAGTCACTATACCTGTTGGCAGTATCACGTGAACAAATTCTTTTCGAATAATTCCTTGCTTCCCACAAGGAACTAGCATATTTCTTCCTCTTTGACAATAAGGACTCTGTAATAGCCACATCTCCCTTTTCTCATGGCTTCCAGTAAGCTCAGACTTAAAGTATACTTGAACTAGATAGACTCTGTAAACCTGTAGGATTGGCAGACTAGCTTTCTTTTCTTTCCCATAAATAATCCCGAACTCCCCCTACCTTGTTACATTTTCCTTTGTTCAGACTTGCTATTCTTATGGTTCTCTTATATTTGTAATTTATTTTCTGAATACAATTGTGGTAGAGTTACTTTAAAATTGTTGTGGAGAGCCAGAGAGCTAGTATAGCACATAGGGCATTTGCCTTGCCTGCAGCTGACCCGGGTTCAATCCTGGCATCCCATTCAATCCTCTGTGCACCACCAGGAGTAATTTCTGAGTGAAGAGTCAGGAGTAACCCCTGAGCACCACCAGGTGTAACCAAAAAACAAACAAAAATGTTGTGGAATGGGCTGGAGAAATAGCCACAGAGGCTAAAGCACTTGCCTTACACGCTGCTGACCCTGCCTTGTCCAAACCCCTGGCACCATATAAGGTCCTCCAAGCGAGGCCAGGAGTGACCCCTGAGCACAGAACCAGATCTTTTCTTGGGTCCAGGTGAGTCACTGCTGATCCAAACTCTTCCCAAAAGTCTTTGTGGAACCAAGATGGAACGACACAGGAACAAGTTTACATAAGTTTTAGCTAGTAGATCAAAACCCCACTATTTCCATAACCTTTTGAGGTTTCTACATTTGAGAGACAAACCACTGTCATTCAGAGATTCAGACTAATTCGCTTTCTAAGCACCCTCAGGAAGCATAAAGCCAAACACTCCAAGTCTCCATCAGAAAACCCTGGTGAAGAGCAGGGCCAGGCATGAAGAGACTGCGGGGTCAGTGGCAGAGGCACGAGGTCCTTCCCCAGACACCGAGACGGGGGAGGTGGACCACTGTGAGTCCCCTGTACTCCAGTGCTGGCCTGACTCCCAGGGGTGCAGGACCCGTGTTGGCCACCAGCCCTCTGTGGCTGCCCCTCTCAGCTCTGCCCACCGGGACAAACAGGGCTGGCCTTCTGGCTTTGCTGCTGGGGTGGGGGGCCCGAGAGACCCACATCCAGGTGGCCTTGGCTCCAAGAGTGCTGGCACAAGAGTGCCACTTGGAGTTGGCAAAGACCCCGGTGATGAACTTTGTGCAGGGCCTCTCTGGGGGCATTGACCAGACCAGGACAGACTGCAGAGCTCAGAGGAAGTCTCCAGAATGATCCCTCCCAGATGGTGACAGTGGGGTTGTCCCAGCCAGGGGGATTAGGATGGTCGGGCCAGAGAGATTGGGGGCAGCCCCACCCGAGGCCAAGCCTTTAACTCCTCCAGGTGACACAGGCTCCAGAAATGCGTTAGCACCAGGGCAAAGGCCATGAGAGGTGCCCTTCATGGACTCCCTCAGCATAAGAGAGAGACTCACCTGGGACCAAGAATGATTTACCTGCTGGACAGCTCGTCCCGGGAGCTCGATTGAAGCCCCATCCCATGCCAGCTGCCCCCTCACCAGCCTCTCTCCCAGCTGCACCCACACCCAGTATGGTGTTGGACGTCCTGCAGCCATGGGTCGTGGAACGGAAATGGGTACCCATGTTAGCACCAAGACAAAGGGACTGAGGGGGCTCACTCCTGCTTGGTCCCTCCTGACCCAGTGCCCCGCTGTCTGTCCTGACCAGCTCCCATGACCATAGTTACCTACTGCTGGCATTGGAGTCACGGGGGGGGGGGGGGCGGGTTTGGAAGCGGGGGTCAGCCCTGGGTATGAGCTGGGCACTGCAGCTCTAGCTGAGGCCCCTTGCTTGCCCTGGAAGGGCCGCAGAGGCTGCAGACAAGTCACAATAACTTTATCTTCTTGTGTCTGTGTGTGTACGTGTGTGTGTGTGTGTTTCTGCCATAGAAGAGCGTGATTCCCTCCACGGCCACCTGTCTGCACCCCGGAACAAGAGGGGAGAAGAGGACCAGACCCCCTAAGCCTCCACTGCGGCATCCCCTGTGCCAGGACCAGGGATGAGCAGGCTATGCAGGCGGACTTTCCCGGCCTCCGGAGGTGCCCATCACACCCTGGGGACGCATGGGGGGCCCCCTGCCACTGCCCACTGAGACTGTAGGATGGCCACCCTGACCTCCTTTGTGATGCTTCCACGCCAGTCACTCAGGTGGGACATGCTGAAATGGTTTCTGCATGCAGAGTCGCCAACCATGCCTCGGCAGCCTGAGTGCAGCGGGCCCTGAGCACCTGCTGAGCGTCCACTGGCTGCCCCGTGACACTTGTGAAAGAAAGGAAAAAAAAAAAGACAGCTCCCCAGCCCTCCTGGGCTCGGCCCCTGCAACTCTTCCCCGATGTGGCCAAGGCCGGGCTGGGGACCAGTGGGTCACTCGTGAGTGCAGCCTGCCCCACCCTGGTCTGAGGAGCACCCGGAGCCTGTGCGGAGGCCATGGATCCGGAACACAGCGTCAAGGGCACCAAGAAGGCTGAGGGGAGTCCCCGGAAGCGGCTGACCAAGGGAGAGGCCATTCAAACCAGTGTTGCGTCCAGCACCCCGTACCCCAGCAGCGTGACCGTCGCTGCCCCCCAGGAAAGCCCCCTCCAAGAGCTCCTGGTCCCGCAGCCCTTCCCGGGGCCCTCGCTGATCCTCCGGGAAGGCCCTCAGGAGAAGACGGGCCCACCGCAGAAGCCCCCCAAGAGGCCGTCCATCGAAGCCTCCGTCCACCTCTCCCAGCTGCCGCAGCCTCTGACACCAGCATTCAGGGCGCCCGGCCAGCCGGAGCATCTCCTGGAAGGATCCACGTGGCAGCTGGTCGACCCCATGAGGCCCGGCCCTTCTAGCTCCTTCGTCACCCCCGGACTCCATCCTCAGGGCCAGCTCCTTCCTGCCCACGCGTCCATCCTCCCCGCCGAGGACATGCCGGGCATCCCCAAAGTCTACGTGCCCCGTGCCTCCCAGGTGCCCCCGAAGCCCGCAGAGGAGGCGCACAAGAAGGAGAGGAAGCCCCAGAAGCCGGGCAAGTACATCTGCCAGTACTGCAGCCGGCCCTGCGCCAAGCCCAGCGTGCTGCAGAAGCACATCCGCTCCCACACGGGCGAGAGGCCCTACCCCTGCGGCCCCTGCGGCTTCTCCTTCAAGACCAAGAGCAACCTGTACAAGCACCGGAAGTCCCACGCCCACCGCATCAAGGCCGGCCTGGCCTCGGGCCTGGGGGGCGAGATGTACGCCCCGGGGCTGGAGATGGAGCGGCTCCCTGGGGAGGAGTTCGAGGAGCCCACCGAAGGGGAGAGCACTGACTCAGAGGAGGAGACGGGCACGGCAGCCGCCCACCCCGCCGAGCTCCCCGGCAGGCCCAAACACCCGCTCCTGTCCAGCGGTCTCTACAGCTCCGGCAGCCCCGGCTCCAGCCACGAGCAGCGCTGCTCCTTGTCCCAGTCCAGCGCGGCCCCATCCCTGGAGGACCCTGCCCCATTCGCCGAACCCCCCTCCGAACACGCCCTGAGCCATAAAGCCGAGGACACCCACAGCATCAAGCAGAAGCTGGCACTCCGCCTGAGCGAGCGGAAGAAGGTGATCGACGAGCAGGCGTTCCTGAGCCCGGGCAGCAAGGGCAGCACCGAGTCGGGCTACTTCTCCCGCTCGGAGAGCGCCGAGCAGCAGGCCAGCCCTCCCAACACCAACGCCAGGTCCTACGCCGAGATCATTTTCGGCAAGTGCGGCCGCATCGGACAGCGCACGGCCATGCTGGCGGCCACGGCCACCCAGCCCCTGCTGCCCCTGTCCAGCGACGACAAGCCCAGCCTGGTGCCGCTGTCGGTGCCCCGGACGCAGGTGATCGAGCACATCACCAAGCTCATCACCATCAACGAGGCCGTGGTGGACACCAGCGAGATCGACAGCGTGAAGCCCCGCAGGAGCTCGCTGTCCCGCCGCAGCAGCATGGACTCCCCCAAGTCCAGCCTCTACCGCGAGCCCCTGGCACCCCACGGCGAGAAGCTGAAGCCAGACCCGTCGCTGCTGGGCCTCCAGCACCCGCCCAGCACCACCACCGCCCCCGTGCCCCTGCTGCGGAGCCACTCCATGCCCTCCGCCGCCTGCACCCTCAGCACCCCCCACCACCCCTTCCGGGGCAGCTACTCCTTCGACGACCACGTGGCCGACCCCGAGACCCTGAGCCGCAGCATCCAGGGGCTGACCTCCCACCCCCGCATGCTCAAGAGACAGCCGGCCATCGAGCTGCCTCTGGGGGCAGAGTATGGCTCCGAGGAGGCGGGGCCCAGCGGCAAAGACGCCCCCGCCAAACCCGCCGAGGAGCCGCCAGAGCCCAAGGAAGGAGACCTCGCCAAGAAGACCAAGAAGGGCCTGAAAGCCAAAGGGGTCATCTACGAGTGCCACGTCTGCGGCGCCCGCTACAAGAAGAGGGACAACTACGAGGCCCATAAGAAGTACTACTGCTCCGAGCTGCAGATGGCCAAGCCGGCCGCCCCGGCCCCGGTCCCAGCCCCGGCCCCGGCCCCGGCCCCGGCAGGTGCTCCCCCAGCTCCCCCGGCTCCTGACGCTGCCGAGAAGAGTCGCCCAGAGCAGGAGCCCTGGTCCCAGATGATGCATTACAAGCTGGGGGCCACCTTGGAGCTCACGCCGCTGCGGAAGAGAAGGAAAGAGAAGAGCCTGGGGGACGAGGAGGAGCCCCCGGCCTTCGAGTCCACAAAAAGCCCGTTTGGTGGCCCCAGGTCCTCCGAGGCACCTCGGACTCTGACCCTGGAGCCCGGCAAGTCGGCAGCAGAGCCCAGTACACTGGGGCCCTCTCGGGAGGCCCTCCCGGGCTTCCCGTCCTGCACGCCCAAATCGGGGCCCGGTTCCGAGTCGGGGAAGGAGAGGAGAACCACGTCCAAAGAGATCTCCGTCATCCAGCACACCAGCTCCTTCGAGAAGTCGGACTCCCTGGAGCAGCCCTGCAGCTCGGAAGGGGAAGAGCGGCCGGCGGCCCCCTTCTCAGCGGCGCCCCCGGCCCCCCTCACGCGCTCCCCTCACTCCCTGCAGGCCAAGCTGGTGCGCCAGCCCAACATCCAGGTCCCCGAGATCCTGGTGACCGAGGAGCCCGACCGGCCGGACACGGAGCCAGAGCCCCCGCCCAAGGAGCCCGACAGGCCCGAGGAGTTCCAGTGGCCGCAGCGCAGCCAGACGCTGGCCCAGCTCCCTGCGGAGAAGCTGCCACCCAAGAAGAAGAGGCTGCGGCTGGCCGAGATGGCCCAGTCTTCGGGCGAGTCCAGCTTCGAGTCCTCGGCGCCCCTGTCCCGCAGTCCCAGCCAGGAGAGCAGCGTGTCCCTGAGCGGGTCCAGCCGCTCGGCCTCCTTCGACAGGGACGACCATGGAAAGGCCGAGGCCGCCGGACCTGGGGCCGACACTCGCCCCAGACCCTTGGGCACCCACAGGCTGACCGTCCCCAGCCACCATGCCCACAGCCACGCCCGAGAGATGCGGAGGTCGGCCTCGGAGCAGAGCCCCAACGTGGCCCCCTCGGCCCACATGGCCGAGATGCGCAGCAAGTCCTTCGACTACGGAAGCCTGTCCTCCACTGGCCTCCCCGCGCCTGGCCCTCCAGTCGCCCCTGCCACTGCCGCCGAGAGAAGAAAATGCTTCTTGGTGAGACAGGCGTCCCTGAGCCGGCCTCCAGACGCAGAGCTGGAGGCCGTGCCCGCAGGAAGACAGGAGGGTGAGGAGGCCAAGCCCTCACCCAGTAACCCTGCCGCCCAGAGCTCCTCTGGGTCTGCCCCTCTCGGGAGGGCCCCGGAAGGCCAGGGCCAGGCTCCGGACAGACCCGCTCTTGGCTCCACTCCGCCCTACACAGAAGAGGCGTTCCACCACCCCCTCGCTCAGCTCCCCCTGCACGAGAAGCCCTACCTGCCTCCTCCACTCCCTGTCTTCTCCTTCCAGCACCTCTTACATCCAGAGCCGGGACAGCCTTCAGAGTTCTTCTCCGCCCAGACCATGCCCAGCCTCCTCTCCCCGCCCTATTCCATGCCCCCCCTTCCGCCTTCCTTGTTCCAGGCCCCGCCCCTGCCACTCCAACCCACTGTCCTGCACCCAGGACACCTCCACCTGCCCCAGCTCCTGCCTCACCCCGCCAGCATCCCCTTCCGGCAGCCCCCTTCCTATCTCCCCATGCCCTACCCCACCGCCTCACCACTCTCATCTGGGTTTTTCCTGCCTCTGCAATCCCAGTATGCCCTTCCGCTTCCTGGCGAGGTGGAAAGTCACCTTCCCCAGGGCAAAACCAGCCTGGCCCCCCTAGAAACAGGGATGGCTGGTCCCTCCCCCAGCACGGAATTCGGCGGTGACGTTCCGCTGCCCCCTGCGACGCCCCCAGTCAGCTCCTCGGCACCCACGTCAGCCCCTCCGCTGGCCCTGCCCGCCTGTCCAGACACCATGGTGTCCCTGGTGGTGCCCGTCCGCATTCAGACTCACATGCCATCCTACGGGAGTGCCATGTACACTACTCTCTCCCAGATCCTGGTTACCCAGTCTCAGGGCAGCTCGGTCACGGCTGCTCTTCCCAAGTTTGAGGAGCCCATTCACAAAGGGACAGCGGTGGGTGGGGCAGAGGTGTACCAGGTCGGGCCCGGTCCGGCCAGGGTCCCTGAAGAGCAGAGCGGACGCTTCCCGACTCCGTACCTGAGAGTGCCCGTGACTTTGCCTGAGCGGAAGGGCACGCTGCAGTCCTCAGAGGGGGCCCTGAGCCTGGAGGGGAGTTCCTCCACAGTGGGGGGAAGCAAGCGTGTACTTTCACCAGCTGGCAGCCTTGAGCTTACCATGGAAACCCAGCAGCAAAAGAGGGTGAAGGAAGAGGAGGCTTCCCAGGCTGACGAAAAACTGGAGCTGGTGAAACCCTGCAGTGTGGTGCTTACCAGCCCTGAAGACGGCAAGAGGCCAGAGAAATACCACCTGGGAAGCCAAGATCAGGGCAGGAGAGAGGTAGAAAAGCTGTCTGGGCTGTCTTCAGATCCATCTGACCCAAAGGAAGTCCCTTCCCTTCCTCACCCACCATTGCCCCATGGGGCAGCCCCAGGCTCAGAGGCTTTGAAGGACTATGCCCAGTCATCTGGTCAACCTCAGCCAAGAGGGCTATCTCCTCTGAGTGTAAAGAAAGAAGATTCCAAGGAACAGCCTGACCTCCCTCCACAGGCACCTCCCAGCTCGCTGCCTCTGCCAGAAACATCCTCCAGGCCAGCCAAGTCACAAGAAGGTACGGACTCCAAGAAGGTACTGCAGTTCCCCAGCCTCCACACGACCACTAATGTCAGTTGGTGCTATTTAAACTACATTAAGCCAAATCACATCCAGCATGCAGATAGGAGGTCCTCTGTTTACGCTGGTTGGTGCATAAGTTTGTACAACCCCAACCTTCCGGGGGTTTCCACTAAAGCTGCTTTGTCCCTCCTGAGGTCTAAGCAGAAGGTGAGCAAAGAGACATACACCATGGCCACAGCTCCGCATCCTGAGACGGACAGGCTTGTGCCATCCAGCTCCCGCAAGCCCCGCATGACAGAGGTAAGTCCGGCCTCATGCCTCTGCCTGGCCCCCTGCTCACACACTGATGTCTTGTAAGCCTTCCTGAGCTTTTAAAGCCACATTCCTCTCATCTTGCATTTGTAAAACGAAAGCCACATGAGTAGCAGATTTCCTCCCAGTCGGCATTGATTACCCACCTGACTAATCCTTTAGGGAGGGGAGAGAATGAGAGGTCCTTTCTCGGCATTGATTTTCACACTGTTGAACGAGATGTCTTTCAGCAAAGTTCGCTTCCAAGTGAGTTCCTTTCCCATTAGCTTCTCCCATCAACTGTACCATGTTAACCAGGAGAAGAAAAAGTTCTCCCAAGACTGAGTTGGAAAACTTGGCCATTCAGAAGTTCTACTACAACGATCTTAGAACTTTACACCACTGTATAGGATATTTCCCGTTGCCCTCTTCATTTTGCTTTTCTTACCTCTTCATTCGTTGTTTCCTTCTTTGTCACCACTTGAAATGTCCTCATTTCCAGAGCTTCTAGAATTTGACGAAAACAGCTCCTGAAATGGCCCTCCCTTTTCTATGAGCAAGATAGCAAACAGCTCTGTGCCATGTAGTGTTTCTCTTTTCCAGAGTCAGCTGCAATATCACTCACTGCCTTGGCTATGCTATAAAATGGCACCAGACTCTTCATAGTTATTCTTCCTTTGCCTTTTGACCTAAGGGTGCATCCGGATCTGGATCTATGAAGTTAACTACCTCCTGAAAGTCCAGGAAGTTTAAGTGTTAAACTTCATTCCAAATCAGCTTCTTTCAGATGCCCTCCTCACTTCACCCCCTGAGGAGAACAGTCTGGGGATTCGGCCCAGGATGTGTTGTGTGGCTTTGCATTTGAGGAATAGCAGTAGGTCTTGTGATCAGTCAGCCTCACCAAACCAAACCTTTGAATCCAGTCAGTGCTCATCTCCCTCTGGGGGGCAGAACTCTCTCCTCTCCACAGATGAGGTAACTGAGGGTCAGAAGGTGAGACAAGACCAAGATCTCATAGCAATTGTTTGGCACAGCTAGACCTTGAACCACATCTGTCTGACCGCTGAGTCTATTTTTCTTCTTCTGGTTGTTTTGAAAAAATGAAGTCTTAAAAGATGACGTAGACATGAAAAGAGGTTCATTATTATTTCTTCAATTCAGATGTTTTGATCCAATCAGAGATAAATCCCCAAGACTAAAGCCATGATGTAGGTAAAGGAACAGGAAACTTTTATAAAATGCTCATATCTTGGTATTCTCCTGTCTTATCATTAAATAATTGTGTCATCAAATTTGTCCTTCCCTCAGCTGAATATTCTTCGCAGAGCTATATCCCAGATTCATTCTCTGATGTCCTTGACAATGCTGAATGAGAGTCTCGCTTTGATCACAAATATTCTAACTCGTTTGCTCTCCAGCATCCATGCCATGGTGACTTCCAAGATGGTGCTCTAATTATATCCCTGTGACCTACTAGCTGCTAAATTCTGGGCCCAATTTTTCCTTTTTCCTTACCACCACCTTGAAAGGTAGGGTACACTGTCACCACCTGATGGACAAAGAGACCAAGACACAAAAATTTAAGTAAGATTTTAGCAAGAATTGAGTCTTAATTCAAAACCAGATCTCACCTGAAAGCTCTTTGGGGCCTTTTTCCTGCCTCTCTGTTCTAAAGACTAAACACTGGAAGGAAGATATTTGATGACGAAAGAGGAGTTAGTTTGGTCAATTTTGTTGAATGGGGTCTGGTAACCATTTATTTAGAAAGGTGCTCTCCTAAATCCTGAAAAATCCTGAGCTGAATCTTGAAAAATTCCTTTTCCTTTTTGGTTTTCGAGTCATATCTGGCTAAGTTCAGGAATCACTCCTGGTGCGACTCAGGGAACCATATGGGGTTCCAAAATTGAACCCAGGCTGGCTACATGCCAAGCAACTACCCTACCCATTGTACTATCTCTTCAGCCCCAAACTTTTTGTTGGAATATTCCAGTGATTCACCAGCATATTCCCTGCTGAAAGTTCAGGCCTCTGGTGTGTTACTCTGTTTCTGGCCTATTACTCAATGTCTTTCCATAATTCCACCACTGTCTCTGTTGGTATATTGTCATACGGAGAGCTCACAACCCCAGGAGCAACCAAGCCATTTCTGGAGACAATGCTTTCACAGAGTTATTTATTTGTGCTGAGCTGATATTTATCATCCTGTAGCTCTCATTCTCCTTCCAGTAGCTCTGAGAAAATGTATATTTTAGCATTTTCAAATCTCTTCCTAACTATCTTCATATTCAGTCTAAATCACCCTATCATCAATGATCTTATTCAGATATTTGTTTATAAATTAGCCGTGGATAAACCTGAGTTTATATAAGAATTCAATTCATAGCTGCATTCATCCCCCAAGGAAAACTTCTTCCTCTCCCACCCCCATGGGAATCATTTTAACAACCACACACACTTTTTCAAAGAACTCTCGGGTCAAGTTGTCCAGATTTGATTATTTGGTCTTTCCGCTAATAGTGGTGTTAGTTTGAGGGACACACCCAACGGTGCTCAGGGCTTTCTCCCGGGTCTGAGCTCAGGAAACAACCCTGGTGGTGTTTCAACAACCCAGGGGATCATGTGGGATACCAGGGATCAATCCCCGATCAGCCTTATGCAAGATAAGCGCCTTATCCACTGTACTATCACTGGCTTAGTTCTCCAGATTTGAATTCCGGTACCTCACTTGCTAACTGGGTGACCTGGGTCAGTTACTTAACCTCTTTCTGACTTGCTTTCAGCATTTATAAAAGAGACACATTAGCTCATCAGGCTATAGAGATAATAAAAGGAATTGAAATATACACTGAGGGGCCACAGAGATAGTACAGGCATCAAAGTGTTTGCTTTGCATGCAGCCAGTCCCCCCGTTGGAGGCTCAATTGGGGTGTCCTGGAAAATCTCTGGCACCACAGGGCCTGAGCGGCACTGAGGCCACCCTGACCAGCCTCCTCTGGCTTGACCCAGACATGCAGTGCACTGAGCATCCGGTCTTGTTGCCTTCCCTAAAGCAGCCCCTGCCTCGCTTGGGTGCATGCCTCATCTCCAATTCTGCAGACATCAGCGGGGCTCACTGAGTCAGATAAGTGGGCCTTGAAGCCAAGGATGTTGCCTCTCTGGGGACCACTTCCTTCTGTAAAGAGGAATGCTTCCAGGGGAGGGAGGGACACCACTCAGCGGGTAGAGCACTTCCTTTGCACACCGGAGATCTGGCCTTCATCCCCAGCATCCCATGGTCCCCTGAGCACTCCCAGGAGAACCCCCTGAGCACAGAGCCAGGAGTAGCCCTTGCGCAGCTCCCCAAGTGTGGTCCCCCAAATGAAAGTAAGGTAAAAGTTGTTTAAAAGAGGAAGTCTTTGAGCTAGAGAAACAGTAAGGGGGGTTGGGGGGTAGCATGCTTGCTTTGCATGCTGCTGACCTGATCCCCAGCACCCCATGTGGTTCCCAAACCCCACCAGGAGTGATGCCTGAGCACAGAGTCAGGAGTCAGCCCTGAGCACCAGTATCTGGCCCAAAAACTTAAAAAGAGGTTCTCTCCACGCCTGTTCGCGGGGTGAGGCGGATGGGTACAAGCACGATGCCGGGGGCCGCCATTCCACCAGGCCCATTTAACCTGCAATGATTTCATCCTCCCCGGGCTGGGCCAGGTTCACCTCCCTTCGCTGGTTTCCCCGGAAGGCCAGAAAGAGATGGCTCGAGCGGAGAAGGAAGAAGAGATGCGCGGGAAGCCGGAGGAAGACGCTCCTGCCTCCCAGAGAGGGGAGCCGGCGAGGATCAAAATCTTCGAAGGAGGGTAAGAACCATGTTCGGTTTGCACGGTGCATCGTGCGGCGGCACTGGCCCCGGCCAGGTGTGCTCAGAGGGGACCGCCAGGTGCCTGCCCAGGTGTGTCTCCTGCAGGTAACCTCTGACTGAGCACCCCACCCTCCTCTTGGGGTGGGGGCCACAGGGTCTGTCTGCCCCTCCGTCCCACAGCCATGCCTGGACTTCCGATGCCACCTGCATTGGGGTTCATGGTGAGCCTCCAGGGCCCCCCACCCCGTTTCCTCTGCACCCCCAGCAGCCGCTTTGGCATTCATGGGGTCCGCCCCAGGGACTTGAGCACTTGAGCTCTGCCAACTCTGGTGTTTGCCAGGCAGGCTGCTGGGAGACTGCAGGTTCGCTCCCTCTCAACACTGACAGATTGGGGTCCCGGGGATCATTGCTGGGTAAATTCTGAGAACGCCAACCTGGGGCTTTTCACAGGTGAGCCGAGTCTCTCGGGGGCCACCCCGTGGGCACCGCCCCGGGGCCATGCTTCTGGCTGTGTGGACGTTCTGTGCCAGCTATGTTCTGTGTGACCACGTGTCTGCTCCCCAGGACGGGGTGTCTGTCCAGGGTCTGTGTCTGTGTCCCCGGTCTCGTCCGCACAGTTCTCCTTCTCAGTCCTGAGGGACACCCGCATGGAGGACAGTCCCCGTCGGCAGATGCCAATGGCACTAGGCAGTCACGGGGCCCCAGGAACCCTCCGTGCGTGGGTGACTCACAGGGTAAAAGTCGGGTGCTGGTTGCTCTGTACAGGCTAAACTCTCCCAGTCGTGGTGGGCATAGCGCCTGCACAGGAGGGACCCCCTCACCCCAGAGGAAGATCCTCCAACCGGGAGCTCCCAGAGCGCTGCTCATCCGTCCCCACCCCCAGACCCCCTCTCTTCGGCGGCGTGGTTGGAGCGCCCCCTGGTGTCCTACTTCCTGTTTCGGGTCCGGCAGAGGCCGCGTCAGACTGGCCCTTGCCTTGTTAATTCTTGTTTCAGATCCATCTATGGGGGGCTGGCGGGCACTGCGTGCTCATGGTGGACAGAAGCTGGCCCCTTAGCATGGGTGGTGGCAAATGAGCAAGTTAGCTTCTGCCTGCAAACAGAACATCTGCTTCCCGAGTCTGTCCTGCGCACCCTCACTGGGGTCCTCCAGCAGGGCACTGACAGCTGCTCTCAATTTCTGGGAGGGCGGTCAGGGCTCCAGGGACCTGTGGGAGCCTCTGCCATGCGGTCTGCAGGCAGATGCCCGTGATAGTGGCAGGTACCGCCTGTGTCCTCATCTCTGCTCCCTCCAGCGTATACCCGACCGCACCCCTGCCAACGTTTCTGCAACTCTCCTCTCTCTGTCCCTGTCCAATCCCCTCTCCACTGGCCCTGCCCCCTGTGCCCAGCCCCGATCCTCTCCAGCTCCAGCTCCACGTCCGTGAAAGGGATCGGCGTCCCCTTGGCATGTGTGAGGAGCCCAGGCTGCTGTGGGAAGGCGCGTCCCATGTGCTGACGGATGCCCAGTGTTACGCCTCCTGCCAGCATCTCATGGACCCCAGGTCCCACCAGGATAGCCAACTCTGTTCTGTGGGGCCCAGGGTCACCCGCTCTCGCTACTTGCCACATCTCGTGTAAGCACGTGGGAGTTCATGTGGCACCGCCGGACCCTGCCTTTCTCACCGTCCCTTTCTCTGCTGGCCTCGCTGCACCTCTCACCCCTGCTTCGGGGATCCCCTGACACTCCAGGTCTCTCGTGGCTGGCATCACCCCCCAGGTTGTTGGGAAGGTCACAGAGAGAATGTTTGGGGTTGTCACATAACTGGGTGATCGCTGGCTTTCAGAAATCAGGTCATGGGTATAATCACACATACAGCCAACCATAGAGCCACTCCTGCCCACCCCCCAGAACATTGAGGGTGACCCAAAAAATGCCTGGGAAGGGTCTGAGCCGGGGGCTGGCAGCAGGGCATGATGAGTCATGGATCTGGTGGCACTGGTGAGTGTCTGCATTCTCCTCACCGATGCCATCTGCCCATGGGCTGCAAACCTCGCTGTGCCCAGGCTGCTAGCACTGGTCTCTGCTGGGGGGATTCACTCCTGAGTTTCTGATGCCTCCTAGGTGCCACCTGGGCACCAGTATGTGCCAGCCACACCCTCCCACCAGCAGCAGCAGCTCCTGGATCTCGGGAGCTTTGACTTCCTCCTTTGCTCCTGTTCCTCTGCTTCCCATAGCCCCCAAATCCTTGTGCCCGCACAGGGAGTTGAATGAGGTTCCTCTTCACTCCCTTTGGGAAACTGCTCTTCTCTCTCCCCTGGGTGCTTCTACAGAATCATGCCTGCTCCAGAACATTCTGCAACTGCCTTACCTGCGGGGCCCAGTGAAAAACAGCTCATCTTCTTGGCCCTGAGTTCCACCCCCCCCCCAAACTGTCGTGCTTCACCCCAGCCCTCAGAGGGCAGTTCTACCCCCTCCTCTGAGGAGCGCCCAGCCCCCTTCTGTCCTAGTATATGGCTGTCCTTCCAGTGAGAGTCTCTGTCCAGCACCTCTGCACACACCTCCATTGTCACAGAGCCCTGCTTTGTTGCCGAACGGTTTCCAAAAACAGTAGTGTTCCCGGAGGGTCGTGACCGTGTGGATGCATGCCATTGGTTAATGCTGAATTAATTGCTAACTCGGGTCAGCCGAGGCTAAGAAAGTAAGAGCTCAGCCCGAGTGGCTGGTGGAGCCAAATAGACAGGAACTGCCTGGTTCTGACAGTGGCCCAGGCCCAGTAGGGTGCCGGGCCCGGGGTGGGGGGAGTTGTGCTTGAGTCTGCAGGGAATGGTGTGCTCAGTAGGTGAGAGCTGGGGGAAGCGAAAGGGCTTGATCCAGCTGGGGGAAGGAACTCGGAAAAGTGGCCAGGGACAAGAGGTGGGTCATGTTTCCTTATTCAGTTTTTGCAGGGTTACATCTAGTGGTTGTACCCTGGCTTTATGCTTATGAATCATTCCTGGTGGGCTTGGGGGACTGTATGGGATGCCAGGGACTGAACCCGGGTCAGCCTTATTCAAGGCAAGTACCCAACCCGCTATACTATCTCTCTCCAGCCCCTGTGTTATATCCTGTTTAAAGGGTTTTCTTGGCTTTAATTCAAACATAAGTCTGGGCAGGGGGCATCGAAAACCAACTGTGGGTGAGGTGGGGGCACTTTCCTGGGCCCAGGGACACCCCAGGCTTTGCCCTGCAGACCGTTGGCAGAGGCTCATCCCAGACCCACCAAGCGCAGGAGCTGTTGCTGAGCTAACAAAGAGCCCTCGATGTCCCTGGGCTGGCACTGGGCCCCGTGTCTGTCACCTCCCCGTACCCACTCTCCCGAGTGTTCCTGCCACAAACCCGAACCGCAAGCTTCCTGCTTTGTGGATGCTCCTTTGGGAGAAGAGTTCGTCTCCCAGATACCCTGTTTCCTTTGGAGAGCAAGTGCTTGCTCACCTTCTCTTCCCCATCTCTCCTCGAACCACTCTCAATCACGTTCATGGTCAGGGTCAGCAGGGACCGGCCCCTGCAGGTCTTCCAGGGCTTTCCCCACCCTCCCGCAGGCAGCATCAGACCCCAGACACTGCCCCCTCTCTGTGGAACCCTATCCGGGCCCTGTTCACTAGCACTGTGGGTTAACTGGGCAACAAATCGATTAAGCTAGGAACTGATACGTGGTGGGAACCCGGAGCCTTTGGGATAAGTGTAAAGAGTAATCTCCTCGGTTGAGCCAAGCAGGGAAGGGGGAGAGGGGCAGCACTCCATGGGCAGGTGAGCCAAGGTGGAGTGCCAGCAGGGGAGCCGCACTCTTTTTTTTTTAACTGAATCACTGTGAGATACAGCTACAAAGCTTTCATGTTTGAGTTTCAGTCATATAATGATCGATCACCCATCCCTCCACCAGTGCACATTCCCCACCACCAATATCCCCAGTATACCCCCCCTTTCCCACCCTCCCCCTGCCTCCATGGCAGATAGTATTCCCCAGACTCTCTCTCTACTTTTGGGCATTATGGTTTACAATGCAGATACTGAGAGGTTATCATGTTTGGTCCATTATCTACTTTCAGCACACATCTCCCATCCCGACCAGTTCCTCAAGTCCAGCCCTTCTGGAAAACAATATGGACAGTCCTTCCTTCAAATACTAGAAGTTGAGCTTCCATTATGACCCCGCCATACCACTTCTGGGAATATATCCCGAGGATGCAAAAAAGCACAGTAGAAATGACATCTGTACTACCTATATGTTCATTGCAGCACTGTTCACAATAGCCAAAATCTGGAAACAACCCAAGTGCCCAAGAACAGATGACTGGTTAAAGAAACTTTGGTACATCTACACAATGGAATACTATGCAGCTGTTGGGAGAGATGAAGTCATGAAATTTGCTTATAAATGGATAGACATGGAGAGTATCATGCTGAGTGAAACGAGTCAGAAAGAGAGGGACAGACATAGAAGGGAGCCACACTCTTGCTAAACTTCCCTGAAAGTCTTTTCAAGATGCAGGAAGGGATTCTCACGGGAGAGGGCCCAATCCCCCATTCCATACTGCAGAGGGAGCCTTCCAGAGGCAGCTTCCTGTTCCCCGAGCCCCCCTCCCCTGCCCCCCCCAACCTCACCGCATTATCAAAGCCCACCCACTCCCCTGGATACCTCAGCTGCACCGTCCCCCTCCCCCGCTTCATCCAGCCACGCCCCACTGATACTGTCCCACTGCCCCCTGGACTCTCCAGCTGCAAACTCCCACGACAGAGTTCTCAACCAGCAAGCAGAGTGACCCATTAGATGTCAGCAGGGAACCCTCCTGGGAACCTTCGTAGCCCTCTTAACGGCCTGCCGGTGCCCAGTCCCTCCCTGACCTCTGCCTGCCACTCTGTGCTCACACACTGCTACCCCTCAGCTCGCTGCCACACATGCTTCTGCCCCCGGGCCTTTGCACTTGCTAAGCCCCCTGCCTAAGTCTCTTTTCAGTGCTCCACAGTTCTGTTAGTCAA